ATTATTAGGGCAGTACAAGCTACGCCCATCTGTTCAAGGGACCCTGTTAGGTTCTGACTATTATTTTTAATATCGTTGTATAGTAGACTGGGGCCTAAAACTAAACCTTTGTATGAAGCCCCCAAGGTAACCTTATCACTATCTGCAGCTAAAACCTATCCTGGTTTTAATATACTTGACAAACCATATAATCAAGCATCATCATATAACCAAACTGTATTCAGTCTACCAAGTGTAAACATCAAATACACGGACACATCCAGATTTCAATGTAAGTAAGACTTGTGGATACCTTTTGTTCCTTAGTTTGCTTTCCCACAAATTCCTACGCACTCTTTTTCAGCGTAGCATGTCACCAGCAACAGGGTGAGTGCTGTGGTTACATGAAACAACTGAAGTGACAGCATCATTTTTGGCCAGCTGTAAAATACAGGTAATTTATTATTTGATATTGCTATCCTTATCAAAAAAGAAAAAAAGGAGAGAAAAAAAGGTTGAGAAAAGTTAATTCTTTATGTGGATGTAACATTTTGTCTTTGGGGTTGAAACTTCCTTTAGCTTAGTCATCTTTGCTAGTGAAACTGAGTTTGGTAATGTAGCTAAAATTAGCCTAAGTTTAAATACTTATTGTATCAGGCGATTCATCTTTTACAATATACCCAACTTGCCATTTTATAGACAAAATAAACAATTTCTTTCCTTTTTTTAAATTTAAATGATTAACTTCTTCCATTTTCTCTTGTGTGACAAGCTCTAGTTTCAGTTTTAATTATGCAAGCAACAACAGACATATTAACCACAGTGAGGAAGAAATAGTCAAGATATACACTTAATTATTACTCAATCAAGAGAAAAACAATTGTTTAACCTTTATTTTTCCAGTCCCTCTCTTTTCACTAGCAGAAACTGAGCATTCTAAATCCTTATCAGATGTTGTTTCTCCCCCAAGAAAAGACTAGAGGTGTTGTAATAGAGAAGAATGTAAGGAGACAGTGAAAAAACCCATCTAAGATGGAAAGTTTAAACAGAAAGATTTACAGTATGTAACTATAATTTTTGTAATTCATACAGAAGTTTGACTTACCCTTCAGTTCCCAAATGACATGGAAAAGGAGCAAGGCAAGACCCAACTTATAGGGTTTGTAATTTGAGAAGCATTATTTTATATGAATCAGAAATGTGAAGGGTATGTCATTTGCTACAAATTCACCTGCTACGGCAGAAATTTGATAAGGTTTGTTTTGAACTATTTCTTAGGTTGTGTGTTTTCTTGACATGTTTACTGTGTTTTATAAATGCATGTGAAAATCTGAAGGACAATAGATAATAGACTTCTATTTCATAATCTCTTTCAAGGGGAGCAAAAGACTCTTGGAGCAGAACAATAGACACCTGCAACAATACCAGTTAAGGGTTATTTGTAGTATATAATGTTTCCACTTCCAATTTCCATTGTGCCTGAGAACTAAATAACTAAATGTTGATTGCGATTTTTAACTCACGTTACATAGATAAACAACCCACATCTCATAGTTGAAATGACAAACAGTCTTTTCCTGTACATCTGTATGACAGCCCTATTATGTATGGATTGTTTTCCAACATACCATAGTGTAAAAGACTTACATACGCATTAATGATTGAAACAGAAAGGCCATGAGTAAGTAGAATCTGACCAAAGAAGCATAAAGTACAAAGACATAATAATTGATTCAGGTCTTATCTGGGGTTATGTCCTTACAAGAAAATAAGCGAATCATAGGATATTGCAAAGGGAATCTGAGATATATTCCATAATAAGAAGAGTTCAGCTTGATAGTATAAGGGACAGATTGACAAAGCAGCTCTGGGGGGCCTGATTCTCCCTTTATGAAACACTTTACACAACTTCATAGTTCAATGGCTTCAGAAATAGGGGAAAAACATAATTTGAAAGTCAGTTCTCCTTATATTGCCATATATTCTTATACCACTGCTAGAAGTTGTTCCCATCTTAGGACCTGGCGAATTGCAAAAAATAAGCCTCTTCACAAATGACACTGACCAACACAGAGCACAAGGTATGTCTACTAGGTCTGTGCAAAGTGGCTAATATTTGCTTTGGATTTGGATGATTCAGGGGATAGTGATTTAATTCGGTGATTCAAATCACTATCCCAATTCTATCTGGCCGAATCTCCGAATCAGCCAGCCCAGGCCCATCCCCTGCCCACTCTCCCAGCCTGGCAATGGCTGCCCTGGAACTTTTTTTTTTAACAAGTGCCAGGAACTGTGCCCACCACAGTTCCTGGCACTTGTTAAAAAAAACAACCCTGGTGCTGCCTGGTGGGGGGCGATCCCTGCTGCTTCCCACTGCCCCACACTGCATGAGGGGCTGTGCATGAGCTCCCTGACTCCCTCCTCACTCCCCTGCCCCCCCCCATGGGTGCCCCACCTGGGCCAGCTCCAGCCCTTTAAGAAAAAAAAAATCCTGAAAATCCCCCACACTCACCGCTTCTGCTGGTGGGGGGTGTTCCCCTCTGCCCCCCACTGCCCTGCACCATGCGGGGGCTCTGCACGAGTCCCTGAAGCCCCAGGGCCCTAGCAGAAGCAGTGAGTCCCAGGGCTTTTCTTGTTTTTTTTTTTTTTCTTAAAGGGCCAGAGCTGGCCTGGGTGAGGAACC